GATTGGTGTGAGTGTTAAAGTTGTTTGGGACTTTGTTTGGGTGTTAGAGTTGTTTGTTTGTTTGGTATTGCTGGAAATATCTCTACTTGTCATCGTGCTTTTGTTTTGGAGTGCATCATACCTCCCTGTGAGCACCTCTCTGTCTGACAGTTCTCGCTCTCCCCCATCCATCGATCGATCGAGAGCTCCTTCTTGCCGGACGATTCCTTGTTTTAGCGGGCTCGCGCTGAGCTCTGTCTGTGTCAAGCTCGGAGGGGAACATAAACGAGTGTGTGTGAATCGCTAGAGGCTAGTCCTGCTGAACAAGCTCCTCTTGTAGCTCGATCGGTCACACCGCCATCGGCATCGCCGTCGGGGAGAGGGGGGACGGCACTGCTTCGGCAGCGTGCACCTCGATCCTGTACCGTGTTTGTTATGACCCCCCCCAATGAACACACCAGTGAGGGTGGGCGAGACGATCGAGGGGTCCCGTACCATGCGGAATCGACCCTATCAAGTGCTCAAGTGCTCAAGAGGCTAGTCCGACCGTGCTTGTAACCAAGATCCGATCTCACGTCCACACACAGTTACCACTCCAGACGTTCTGCACTCTCCTATCCTGGAAAGGGGAAAACCGCTGTCGTGAGCCAGCCGCGCTCTTGCGGCAGCCGCCAGCGGAGGCCGAGCGCGTCGCGTGGGCTGAAATCGGTGTGGCAAGTCATAGCGGGTGGGCAAGCCCTAAAACGGCGGGAGGGGTAGGGCTATATCGATAGAGCTAGAGGGCTCAACCACCCCTCCACCCCTCCACCCTCCACCCCTCCACCCTCCCGGAGCGAGAGGGGTCCGTCCCGTCGAGCCCTCCCACTTCCACCCCTCCGACCGGAGGGCTCGCCAGCCCACAGGGCTGGAGGGGTCCCGTCGGATCGGCGTCGGGAGGGCTCCACAGGGTCCCATAGGGCTAGCGCGCTGGGAGGGTGGAGCGGTCCACCGGGGAGAGGGGTCAGGAGGGCTGGGCGAGGCGGGAGGGGTGGTGGGCTCCAGGAGGGCTCGCCGCCCCCCCGAGCTCGGGTGATAGGCAAGAGGGCTCGGGCGCCGGGTGGGCTCGGAGGGACGGTCGGACAAAGAGAGGATCTTCGTGGCGGGAGGGCTCGAGAGGGGTCGGAAGGGCCTCCGGGAGGGGTCGCAAAAAAAGAATGGCGCGGAGCTTCCGAGAGTGCCCGCCACGAGAGGGCTAGAGGGGTCGGAGGGGTTTAGAGGGCTTTAGGGCTGCAGGCCTGCTGCCGCCCATGGACGCGGGTCAACCGGCGACGGCGCCCGTGATCGAGGGACCGGCGACCGCCAATGAGCTGGTCTCTGCGCCGCACGACTTCACCCACGTTCGCGACTGTGGCCATCCAACAGTCTGCCGGCGCGGAAGGAACATGCGCTCGCGCTACTGCGGCAGCCTGAGAGAAGGGCCGGTCCGTGGGGCGCTTACGGCGAGGGGGGCCACGGCCGAGTGCTGCTGCGGCCGCCAGTGGCGCGAGTTGAGCACCCGCCAGCTCACGACTTAGCCGCACCCCTCGAAGGCGGCAACCATGCCTCGTAGGACGGACCCGGCGCGAAAGGTGGTCGGCTTGCCGCTCACGGCCGCAGAGCGGCCTCCGCCCCCGAGCGTGACGAGGCCGGGCACGTTCTCCAAGAGGAAAG